TATCTGATTAGAGGACCAAATGAGATAATATATGTGAAATGCTTTGCAAGCCAAAAGTACTACTTAAGTGTCACTTATTGTTACTATAAAGTTGGTCTATTGTTTGGTTTGTAATTGCCAAATTTCTTGATTTAAATGTTCTTTTTTAAAAAAAAGTAATATTTTCCTAAAATGATTAGTATGACAATGCTCTATATAGTCCAAACTGTTCATTTATGTAAACAAGAAAAGGATGGGTATTACATTGTACAACTCCAAACAGGAAGCTACATGCCTAATAAAGTAAATTATTTATAGCCTGAGAAGGAATAGTATTAACATTGATTGCATATTTGTGACAATGGGATTTTATAAAAGGGTATTTCCAATAAATTTAGATTTATCAATCAGTTTAATCATCAACCAGATCCTTTCAGCCATTATATAATTCCCTAAAGTACACATAAGTATCATTTAGAATGGTAGAGGACTAATTTGTTAAGTGGAAGCTTAGCAGCCTCAAACAATTAATTGACTTTCAAAAGTAATCAGCTTACTCTAAAACATAACTTACACAATGCCAAAATTTAATCAAAGCACTGGAGTCCCCTAAGAAAAGGCTGCTAAGGGCTAAGCTAGGTGTCTTCTGTCTGTGCAGGGAGTCTATCACTTCCTGCCTCTGCCTTATACTCAGCTTCCTCTGTTGGAAAGATTTTTGACTATGGATGCACTAGTATCCTTTCCTTCTCCTGCTGGGCACAATGTGTTTCCTTAGGAAAGGTCGCTAGGGACCAGGCCATGCATCCTCTACTTGTCCTAAAGCACCTGCTTTCATCTGTACCAGCACAAGGCATTTTCCACCTCCTGCTCTAGCCCAACTTCCTAACTGGTATGTGGAGAACCTCCAGTGCAGAGAAAAGTAACTCTCCCTTCAACTTCAGGTCTCCCATCTCCTGTTGCACCTAATCTTTAAGGGTAGAGCAGTGGTGACCTCTACTCAGTGATGAACATTCTCATACTTGGTCATATCCTTCACATCCCAGTGACTCTGAACTCCTGTCAATCATCGTCCAAACCCAATTTCATACCCCCTACCAACTGATTCCTTATTCCCATCCTCCTCAGTTTCATCATCTACCCATTCAGCCCTTCCACTGTACCCTCTGGAATGCCTATACCATATGCAACATACTTCCTTTCTTCTTAAATCTATTTCTCTCCTACTCCTTCCATCTATTAGTTCTTACTGAAATCTGGCTTTCCCCTGATGACACAGCTTCCCTGGCCACTCTTTCCAGTACTGGTTTAACCCTCACTCGTCCTCCTCAACTCCCTGGTTAAGTCAGGAGTTGGAATACTCCTTGCTCCCTATTTGCCACTTCCAGTTCTTCTTCCTCCTTTACTCAGGAACCTCTCTTCCTTTGAGGCTCATGCTATCCATGTCTATCACCCAATAAAAATTCTGGTCCTGGTTACCTACAGACCACTCATGTCACTCCCCTTCCTTCCTCAATGAGTCTGATATCTGGCTTGGAATATTTCTCTCATTCCTAACTCTTCTCATACTAGGACACTTGAACATGCATTTTGATTCTCCCTCAAAATACCCTAACCACTTATTTCCTCAACTTACTTTCCTCCCGTAAAGTACTCCATCACCCTATCTCAACCACACACAAAGATGGTCATACCCTCAACCTTGCCATCACCCACAAATGCACCACCTCCATGTTCAAGAATTCTGAAATTGCTTTATCCAACTATAATCTGTTGGTTTTTCATCTCTCCCTTTGCTTTCCCTTATGTAACCCTACTCTTCATCATCACCATGACCTCTAACCATTGACCAATCAATTCTCTCCCAAGCCATTTCCTTCTCTTCTCCCCATCTTGACTCCTTGATGAAACAATTCAATTACATACTGTCCTTCTCTCTTGAATCCCTAACCCTCTTATCATGTCACAAATTACAACTAACCAAGCCTCAACCTTTGATAACTCCCATTATTCATCTCCTTTGTGACTACCTATGCTGCTGAACAAAGGTAGAGAAAATCACACAATCTTATGACTAGTTCAACTACAAATTTATGTGATATAAATTCAACTAGGCACTCACTGCTGCTAGGCAATCCTACTACACCCTCCCTTTTCAACTCACCATCCCATTCTCCATAATGGCTGTTACAAACTTTCTTATCCCTCCTCGAACTTCCCATGCTTCCCCTGCTTCTACCCTTTCAGCTGAGAACCTTGTTTCATATTTTACAGAAAAAAATTGAGGCCATCAGCCATGAAATCCTCCTTGCCCCCTCTTCCTCATCTCCTATCAAACAATAGCATACTGCCCCTTTCTCCTCCTTCATCTCTGTTTTATACTCCTTACAAGGCTAAACTCTACTTGTTCAAGAGATCCTATTCTATCCCATCTCCTCCAAATGATTGTCCCCTCTGTCATTCCCATTCTATCACTGATTTTAAGTCTGTCCTCTACTGTTTCATTTCCTACAGCCTACAAACATGACCATGTCTTTCCTAACCTGAAAAAAAAACTCACTTGATCCTTCCATCCCTGTTAACTATCCTCCTATTTCTGTTCTGCCCCTCATGGTTAAACTTATTGAAAGATCATCTATAATAGGTGCCTCTCTCCTCTCACTCTTTTCTCAACCCCTTACAATTTGGCTTTCAACCTTATCATTCTACCAAAACTGCTGTCTCCAAAGTTACTCTGTCTCCTTTGCTTGATCCTCCTCCAGATCATGCCTTCTAACTATAACTGTATCTCTTGGTTTTGTTTTGGTCCTCTTTTCTTCTCTCTCTATACTATTTTACTTGGTGATCTCATCAGCTCCCATGGATTTAATTCTCATCTCTATGCTCATGATTCTTAAATCTACCCATCCTTCCCCAATCTCTCTACTAACCTTCAATCTCTTATCTCCAACTGCCTTTTAGACATCTTCAACTGGATATCCAGTAGACATCTTAAACTCAATATGTCCAAACAGAATTAATTTTGTTTCCCCTTAAGCTCTTCCCCACTCCCCACCCCTGCCTTATTATTGTAAAGGGCAACACCATCCCTCCCCCATTTACTCAGCTCACAATCTAGGAGTCATCCTGGATTCCTCACTATCTCTCACCCCCTATATCTAAGCAGTTGCCAAAGTCTGTAAATTTTACCTCTGCAACATCTCTCAAATATGCTCCCTCCTTCCCCTCTAGGGCCTGCCCTGATCATCTCATACCTAGACCATTGTAAACAGCCATCTCACCACTCTATTGCATTCTCCATTCAGCTACTAAAGTGATTTTTCTAAAATGAAGATCACATACACCACACACACACACACACACACACACAAACTAAACTCCAATGGCTTCCTATTGCCTATAGGAGTAAATAAAAATGCTCTGTTTGACATTTAAAGCCCTTCATAATCTACACCCTCCTACCTTTCCAGTGTTCTCATACCTTAGTCCCTAACATGTATTCTTCCATCTAGTGACACTGGACTCCTGGCTAATCTACAAACAAGACACTCCATCTCTTGACTCCAGGCATTGTCCCTAGATCATGGCATTCATTCTCCATGCCTGGAATGTTCTTCCTCCTCCACTCTGACTAATGACCTCCCTGACTTCATTTAAGTTTCAACTAAAATCTTATCTTTGGCAGGAAACCTTCCCTAACACCTCTTAATTCCAGTGTTTTCCCTCTCTTAATTATTTCCTATTTATCTTTCATATAACTTGTTTTGAATGTTTTCTCCTCCAATTAGATTGTAAGCTCCTTGAGGGCAGTGATTGCCTTTTGCCTATTTTCGTACCCAAGAACTTAATATAGTGCCTGGCACATAATAGGTGCTTAATAAATATTTATTGAATTTACTGAATGTATAATTTAAAATACATAACCATGTTAATAACATGTGGAAGTAGGTGCACTCCTTTCAAGAAAACTACATTTCTACTACTCTATTAAATCTTTGTTTTGATTTTATAAAATAATTAATTAATTGCAACTTCTTATAAACTTAGTTAACAGGCTAAAAATATGGAATGAAGAATGTTAACCTACACCGCACTCCTATATCCTTTAAGGTGTTTCTGTGTCTATAGTCGAGAAGTAATTATTAAATTGTTTTCTTCCTTTTTGTTTCATGATTCATGACGAATTTTCTAAAATTGTGAAACCTTGAAATCTTTGACATATAATATTCTATAGTATTGAATTTCTTTCATTCTATACTGGTAAAATATCAATGCTGGTAATAGATATTTTAGAAAAGTATGTAATCATTAAATGACTTTGGAAAACAGCAAATTCTTCTATGAATTTTATAACTATCATTTTTCCCCTTTGGTCTATCCAATGGATAATAGAGATACGTAGATACATATATATACAAATATATTCATGTATATATGAGTGTATAGAAAAGAGATATATGTGTATGTATGTATGAATAATGGGGTTAGAGTCAGCTGGTAAGAACATGATGCAGATAATAGTGTGGTATAGTACAAAGGACAAAGGATTTGGAATCAGAAGACTGAGGTTTGGATCTTCTGCTTACTATTTGTATGACCTTAGGCAATTCACTTGACTCTTCGGGCCTCAGTTTTCTCATCTTAGAAGGATTAGATGATCTTTGTGGTCTAGTCCAATTTTAGAGGATATGTGTCCATGATCTAAAATGCTGAAGATACCAGTATGATCCCCATATGTGAGGAAATTATTCTTTTTCTTTCCTTTGTTCATAGAGATCATCTTTAACTCTCACACAATGCCAATGCCACTGATCACAAGGGAAACTAAGGAAGACCACGTGTCAAGTTAAAACCAATACCACAATACTAGAAAAAACAATTTCATTCACAGGACCTAGGAAGTGGGTGAGTGACCTCAACATTGTGTATTATGAAAGCAGGACATGTGAATACATTATTTTTCAGTTATTTTCCGGCCTGCATTTTATTTAAAAATGCCCTTCTGTATTCTCACATTAACTTACTTTGTTACTTATCCATTTTTCAGGGTCTTCAGCTTGGAATTGTTTTTGTCCATAAGAAAGGCCATTATACTTGGTTGAAGAGTGAATCATTGGGATATACTTTTCATTCTTGCTGTAATTAGAAAATGGCAAAAACCTGAAAGATAAAATATTTAATTTTGTTATTAAACACATAAAGAATCATTGAGCGGGCAGTATAGTATGGTGGAAAGTTTATTAGGCTTGGAGTCAGGAAGGCCTGAATTTGAATTCTGCCTCTGTCACTATCTGCCTAACCTAGGGAGATCATATAAGCTTCACATGCCTCAAGCAACTTATTAGAACTCTGTCTGACCAAAGGCAAGTATTTTCACCCCTCTGGGTTTGAATTACTCATCTATATAAGGATGAGGTTAGGCTAAATTGTTTCTACCATCCTTTCTAGCACTAAATTCATGATCTGAAGTCATAGATAGGTTATGATCTTCATTGGTAAAAGAAGTATGCACACTGGCAGTTCCAACACTAATGAAATCACAGATCCTTCACTAAGGAATCATAAGGAATTGGATGAGAAATTGTGTTAACTACTGAACAGTCTTAGTGAGAGCAAAACTTTTCTTCCTCTCAAAATGCCAGTCCAAAGAAAAATGGATACCCATTTTGTGGATGTTAGGTAACAAAGATGTTCTGCTTAAATTATTTAAATCATTGACCCAAGATTATAATCAACATCAAGAAAAGATCACACATATTTTTCAGTGTAGACCACTGGTTTTGTATGCATTTTGAATATAATACTAAAGTTATCCAACATAGTGATAAAGATAAAGAGTAGCACTTAATCATTGCTAATGATGACAATAAATTTGATGTTTGACTAAATAATCACTTCCTTTTTCTTTTAGTTTCATTTATTCTGAGAATATCAGCATTGCTATGGTTTGGTTCTTCCAAGAGTATGTAAATTTGTTGGTTATTGGACAAAGATATCATATTTTGAATAGCTATGATTAAGTTAATATTCGTAAAACTGTGTGATTCTCAAAACACTTTCCTCCTTTTTCTGCTATTCTATCAATTTCATTGTAGAAGGAGAAAAGGGCTGCACAACATTGGGGATCATGTTCAATTTTTTTTATTTCATGGATTGAAATGGCCAAAGGATTCATTACCTGGTGTCTATCTTCTGGTGATGAGCTTTGTTGCACATGGCTAGGTTTGTTTTTGGATAGCAGATTCAGTCCATTCCTGAGACTGATTTCAAAGCCTTTTCAGTATAGTATAAGGGGGCACAGCTCATTGGCGTGGTCTTGAAAAACAAGTATCAATGTCCACAAGCCAATGACATATTTAAATAGTATTCCGTGGAAGATTATCTCTTAATACTAAAGTAAAAATGTGCTTAGGCCAAGAATGAACTTATAGAACTATACCTATTAGTTTTATTTACCTCCTTCATTAGGCAATATTATTTAATATTTGGGGATATTTATATTTCTTGAAATAGATCACAAAAATTCTGAAATCACATTGTCTTTTTTTGCCTAGATCATACTCCAGACATTTTATTGTTGTGAAAATGAAATAAAATTCATTGAAAAGTTCTTTGTAGTTCACTTTCTAGTAGAAAAATTTGTCATTTAGCTTTAAAATGGTTCATTTAAGTGTTTGTATTAATGAGAGAATTTTTTTTTTTTACATTTAGATGTTATTAAAAAAAAGGTTAGGATTTTCTTCCCAATTTAAAGCCTACCATGAAATTAATTGAGCAACATAAGGATTTTCATCAAAATAAAGTCAAGTATCAAGTTATCTTTGTTTGTATAACATGAAATGGATTTAGAAAACAACATATTTAAGAAGAAATAATGTTCCTTCAAATCTATTCTGCCATTTTTCTCTTTTCTCTGAAACTATTTTAAGAGCAACCTATATTTGTTAATGTATTTTAGAAAATGTCTACATGCTTAACACTACTTAAAATAAAATAAATTCACACATACAAAAAGCAGATATTCAAATTAAGCAAAGCTATGGAAGGTATGTTCTCTTGGGTCAGCTGACTCATATGTGACAGATTATGGTACTTGAAATGCTAATTTGTACATAGGATAGACATCACACACATACACACACATACATACATGCACACACAAAATTAATGAGGCCCCAAAATCCCAGAGTATACAGAGGAGGTACTGTGAACCAGCTGCTCCATGTTCAGTTTTCATCACTTCTGAATTGAATTTTAATAGTGCATTTTTTCTTTTATTTGGACACAAAAGAAATTTTTATTGCTTGACTAGATGGCTTAAAAGATAAGGCTAGCAGTTTGGTGATTTTCTCACCTGTGAATGAAATTTGGTTTAATTTTGCCCCAACATTTTATAACTGAATACTAACTTAGACTTCTAAAGTATATATTAATCATTTTCAGTATTTAAAGATGTGTTTTCAAATAAACTTTAAAGATAAAAAAGCAGTCTCTTTGAAGAATGATGAAATATTATCACTTGTAAGTATAATATATACAATGACAGAATACATTTTTACCCTTTAAGAAAATATTCTCATAAGCCTCTCATTACCCTAGTCACCTTCCTCTGGATGGATCTTTCTTATCAATGGCTTTTCTAACGTGTGGCATTAGACTAGACACAATATTCCAGACATTGTTTTACCAGGGCAAAGTACAACAGAAGTCTCTTCTTCCTTGTTAAAGATGTTACATGTTTCCATTAATGTGATCTATGATTGAATTAGCTTTTTGGTCGCCACACTATTTTACTTACTCATAATGACCTTGCAGTATACTAAAACTCTCAGGTTTTTCCCCTTCACATAGGCCATTCTCTACCAAGTTTTTCTATCTTGTACTTTTGAATTTTGTTCTTTGAATCCAAGGCAAATCTTTAAATTTATCACTTTACAATTTTTAACCCGCAAGATTTAGTCTACTATTCCAGGTGACAAAATTATTTTGAGGCTTTTCTAATTCTGTCATCCAAGAAAGGACCACTGATGTAGCACTGTACAGGAACTCAGTGGCCATCTAGTTAATTTCTCTCTCATTTATCAGATATTAGCTATAAATCTCAGCTCCATCTTATTCATAACTGAATGTTGCAAATTCATTAGATTGTGAGCTCCTTGAGGGCAGATACTATTTGGGGCTTGCTTTATATCTCCAGATATTAGCATAGTTCCTAGCACAAAGTAGATGCCTAATGCTTGTTGACTTATCTACCTGAGTTTGGAGTGGCGTACTTAACAATAGTACAAAATTTCGTAAGAACCTGGAAATATCCTTCATAATAACATCTTAGAAAAAATTCGATCTTTTTTTCTTCACAGTCACACAATCTTAGGACATTTACAAGTATTAAAATACATATTTAGTTGCATTTTCTTAAGCATTTTCATAAGCTTTCCCTGAGTCATCCACTCAGTCGATAGTATTTATTGAGCATCAGGTTGTATGGAAGTTTATTTGATAAAGAAAAAGTTGAAATGATACAAAATACGATCCCTCTTCTCTAAAGTTTAGAGTTTAATCCAGACACTCTAAGAGCAAATATGCAAAAATATGTAACAGAAAAAAGACTATGTATTCATATTGGATTTATCCCTAGTATATACAAGTATTATAGTAATCTTTTGAAAGTCTATCCAATGAAGATACTTTTCTATTATCTCTACTACTAGAGATAACAAAAAATCATAGGTAAAGATGAGTAGATTTTCACATATATGAGAAGCATATAAGGGCATATGGGCAGCTAGGTAGTGCAGTAGATAGAGTACTGGGCCTGGAATCAGGAAGACCCAAGTTCAAATCTGGTCTTAGACAATTAATAGCTGTGTGACCCTAGGCAAGTCCCTTAACCTCTGTTTGCGTCAGTTTCCTTATCCATAAAACGGAAATTAATAATAGCTCCTACCTCTCAGGGTTGTTATGAAGATCAAATGAGATAATATTTATAAAACACTTAGCATAATGCCTGGCATATAGTAGGCATTATATAAATGCTGACTATTATTATCATGATCATATTTATTATAAATGTTGTTAAAAACATTGTTTACAGTACATCAAATAAATGTCTCTTCTTTTGCTTTCTCTTCTCTCCTCAAACTCCCAAATACTTCCCCTATTCTCCTATCAGCAGATGTCCTAGCCTCCTATTTTATTGAGAAAACCAAGATTTTCTTATATTTATCCTCATGAAATTCTCTTTATTTCCCCTACTTCATATTTCAAAATGCCTCTACTTCTTCATCCAGCCTCTTCTCTTCTTCTTCTGTCTCTGTGAAAAAAGTTACTTTCCTTCTTGTTTGGGAGTAAGGGGTGGTGAGGAGTATCAAAGGGTCTAAATGTAGGCATATCTAAAACAAAACAAAAAACAAATGAAAAGAAGTCACTAACATAAAATGCTAAGAATTTGTTACTAAAGTACCCTATACTGCTACAACAATTGAGTTCCTCTCCTTTCCTTCTTCAGCTATCCTTTTAAATCTCATTTTATTCCCTGTTCTTAACAGAGGATTGACAGTCTTTCCAGACAGCAATCTATCCTCATATCCCTTAAAATAAAAGGTTATTGTTTTACTTTGGAAGCTTTTGATGTAGTTAACATCAGGGATACTCTCTTCTCCTTTGGTTTCTCTGAAACTACTCTTTCATGGTCTCCCTCCTACTTATTATCTGGCACACTCTCAGGTTTTTTTTTTTTTAATAGGATCATCCCTCCTCATAAGTATGGGTGCCCCCCAGGTGTCTGTCCTGGGGTCTTTTCTCACTCTCTACTCTCATGGGATCTGCTCCTTTTGATTCACTACCACCTCTATGCAAATGATCATTTCTTCCTTACCTCTTCTCAGAACCTTTATTTTCCTCCAAGGCTCAGCTCAGATACCACCACCTTTGGGAAACCTTCCCTATTATCCCAGTTTTAAGTGATTCTCTTCATCCTCAGTTTTCATTCTATTGTATTTGTTTGTTTGCACATTGTATTTTTCTAGTGCTTAACTTGAAGGAAAGAAGGTTTTGGTTGTCTTCTCGTAGGCCCCACCACCAGGTTTAGTGCTTTTCATAGAGTAGGTGCTTAATAAATAATTGCCCAGTTAAATGGAGCTGAATTAATCATTACCATT